CTCTATGCTAGAGTATAGCTGAGCAATGTTAAAATTAATATCTTTCTCTATCCCCAATATATATATGATTTCCGTCTTTCCTCTGGACTTGAAACCGTTCCGGTTAATCAAAATGTGATATTTTAATGTAATTAAGTGGATAAGTTTTCTTAAAAATTATGTGGTTTCACGCTGAATTAGGATGAAAATAGTATATACCTTGATCTAAACCTCACACTTTCATATAATGAATTCCGATTCTCTGGTTGACGTTTTCCACACAAGCTTATAATATAAAATTTAGCCACTTTCGGCGAGTTAATATCACATTCATTCTTATGTATATCTCACTGCAAGATGTTTTTTGTTTTTAATATAATTTTCGCTGACTAAAACTAAAATATAGCAAGAAAACTGAGACTAAGTTTATGGCCTTTAATATAAGTCAAGAAGATACCAAATTTGATTATAATTTAATAACGATTTCATTTAATAATGGATGTTTAATTCTTTCTCAAGTTTGCCACACCTGAAGGAATTTCCTGGCCTTTGATTCTTGCGAATTACAAGAGTATAAAATTCTTGGTTCCGCCCTAGTACCCATTATCGGGTATATATTGACCCTAGCTCCAACATACTTTAAGTAAAAAATTCAAACTTCAGTTTGGCTTTATATAAACGTAAAATATTAAATATACAACAGTTTAATGCCGAAAATGTGTGAAATCGATCCACGAATTTCCTCAGCATACATGTACTACTTAGGGTATAATTTATTTCGTTAATTTTATAATTAAATGAAATTAAATCGACAGTTTTTCTTAAAAATAATGTGGTTTATCGCTGCATATGAATGAATGGTCTAGACCTGTGTTTAAACCTTATAACCCTAATATACTGATTTCCGCTCCTTTCGTACAACGGCCACCTCATATACCCCACATATAAAATCTAACCCCTTTGCTTCAGTTTATATCACATATACCATGTTTGAGTTAAATAGCTTCTTTTTGTTAGAGTCAACATTTCAGAGAAAAAATAGTATCTATCTAAAATAGTAAATCTATGATCAATAACATAAGTTAATAAGATACCAAATAATAATCGAATAATAAATGTTGAATTCTTTCGCAACATTTGTATACTTTCGCAACATGTTGCAACAGAGTATAGTTTTGTTATCCAAACGGTTGTTTGCATCACCTAAAACTGATCGAGATAGATATAGATTTCTATATACGCATATTTCTTTTAATATTTGGTGATAATCAGTGGATAAGTATATTTGTTCAGCCATCATGTTGAAACAAATATACCAGACAACAATGTAAAAAAGTAAACTCAAGAAAATTACTTTTAAGTAATTTTTAGGATTTACCCAGCGCCGTTGGCTGCTTATAAAAGGTTTAGATATTAAGACAGAAAGAAGAATATCTACATACCTGCTCTACATATGTGTGTACCATACTTAATTATATGTAGCAGACCTTTCAAAATAGGTACCATAGATCCCTGTTTTAAAAAGCGTTAGACAAAAGCAATTTACGGAGGGGTTTTCCGAGCTCTTAATTTCAATACAATGAAATAAAGTACTAATATCTAAAATATAAATATAACTAAATAATCTGATACTGAGATACCATAATAAAACTATTATACTCCGTAGCAACATGTTGCAAGAGTATAATAGATCTCAGTACACTGTGTTTGTAGTTTCAGTTACACTAGATTTCTTGACCAGCAAAGTGCTTTATTCAAAATAATTTCAGTGTATTAGTTATATAGTATTTAAACTATAGTTATATACAGTGGCAAGCAAAACGGTATTATATACAGTGGCGAACAAACAAATATACATATGTGCACCAGTATACCATAGTACCTATACACCGAACAGGAAAGGAGTCATAGCACGGATTCAATTACAGTGAAAGAGAGCAGTACCTAGGATCCAACTTTTCAGACCCGGACAGACGGAATTATATAAGTGTTATATATAAGTATTTTATATATTAAGCCATTTATTATTTATTAATTAAGCCTAGATTAAGTAGAAAATTTATATTCCTAAGTCGTCTTCAGAATAGAAGACGTATGGGAGTTCTACGTGTAAACTCTTTATATAGAGATAGTGAGAGGTCACAATATACTGTAAGTCACGCTAATCATAGACTAGATTCCGATGTACGTCTGTCCGAACAATTTATCAATACAAATCAACATAGAACCAGGCGGGAAAATCTCGAGGTACAGTCTTTGAACAAAATTTAAATACTGTTCAACATAGGGCAAATCCCCTCTAAAAAGCAAGTAAGAAATACTCGAGGTCATAGATCTCGGCGCGAAGACCCCGTGGTTCGATATGTTGAGCAAGTTGCAAATACTGTTCAACATAGAACAAGACGGCAAGATCCACAAATTCGCTCTGAAGAGCAAATAAGAGATACTCGAGGTCATAGATCTCGGCGTGAAGACCCCGAGGTTCGATCTGTTGAGCAAATGAGAAATACTGTTCAACATAGAACAAGACGGCAATATCCACTAATTCGCTCTGAAGAGCGAATAAGAAATACTCGATGTCGTAGGCCTCGTCGAGAAAATCCCGAGGTACGTTATGATGAGCAAAGTAGGAACACTAGGAATCATAGAGAATTTCGCGCAAGAAATCCTGAGTATATGAATTTAGAGCGCATTCGTGATCAAATGCAAAGAGAACATGCAAGAAGAAATCCAGAAATAAGGAGAGAGGAGGGTGATAGAAAAACACAACGTCGACAGCTTAGTAGGAGGGGTATGAGGGAAGAAATTTTGAATCAGAGACATCTTAGACAAAGTCAAGTTTGCCTTAGTAGAATTGAAAACGAAAAACAGTCCCAACGAAGCCGATTAACGAGAGAAAATAATGCAAAAAAAATGATTATAGTGACAATTTAACTGATTTCAAAAACATTTTTTCCAAAATATAAATAAGGGCCCTACTGATATATGTATTTGCTGCGGCGGATTATGGTTTTCACACCAAGTTCGCAAATTAAATTTCGAAACTATTGCGCAAGGTCACCCGAGTGCTGCATCCGCCTTTTATTTAATGCAAAAATTTCCTTCGGAAGATGGAAATTACAATTTTTGTGCTACTTGCAAAAATACGATTGTTAAAAAGAACGTTCCAAAAAAATGTTTAGCTAACGGTCTAGACTTTCCTGAAATACCGGATTGTTTGAAAGATTTAACCCCAATTGAAGAACGTCTCATAATACCTAGATTGCCTTTAATGACAATCCGTCCGTTAGGATATCAAGGTCAGAGTTCTCTCAAAAGTGCTGTTGTTAATATGCCAATTTCTGTTAACAATATTGTGACATCTCTACCAAGGTCCTTTGATGAGGCTTATGTGATACAAATTCACTTAAGAAGGCGTTTGGAGTACAATCATGATTACATAATCGATACCATACGCCCCGCAAAGATTATGAAAGCTTTGCAGTTCTTAGTGAATACCCCTCTGTATCGTGAGCACAATAAACATATTATTGAGAACTGGATTTCAGAATTTAATAACCAAGAAGAAGTTCCGTTTGTTGCATCTGCAGAGGATTCCCGATTGGTTCAATCTTTTCATGCGGCACAAACTTCTCATGATAATCCCTCAGGTAATAGTATTCCCACGGGTCTTTTACCTTCAGAGCTAAATCCAGGCGGTCAAGAAATTCTTTTGGACAATATTCCTGTAGAAAACTTAGACTATAACCGTTTAGTTATAGCGCCAGGTGAAGGACAAAGACCAATTGACATAATTCAAGATAATAACTCAGAAGAGGTAAAATATTATATAAATTTTAATACGAGGAAAATCATTTGTCGTTAATTTTACTTATACAAAAATATTTCATCCTAATTAGGCTGATTATACGGTTTTACCCACCCAAATCGAATTACTTGCTTACTTACCCGATCAATGTTGAATTACCCGAAAAGTGGGTAATTACCCGGACATTGACAACACTGCATATCTCCCCAAACCATATAATATGCCGAATGTTTTACAGTTTTCTGATACACATTAATCACTGTATCGTTCATTGAGTCTGGGACGAACCATGACTCCCGAATCTAGTGCAATTAGATTTATTTTGTTTTCGTCCGAAAAAAGCCAGTTCGAGTCCATTCATTTCCGGACCAATTTGTTCTCTCTTTGCATCAATTTAGATAGGTAAGACGTATTTTTTTAGTAAGAAGCGGGGTTTCTACAAATAATTAATTTAAGCTATGCCGCTATTTCTGGAAGTGGTCTCTCAAAGATATTCGCACTAATCCCCTGTCCTCCTGTTGATTCGTCTAACTTCGATGTCCATTTTTAGGCTGGCGGAAGGCATAGTCAGTTTTCAGATATTTTTTTGAGCAACATTTGTCATCTGTTGCTTTTTAAACGCAATAATGTATATTTTCTGCTCGTTTTCACTTTAAATTGACTTATTTGACCAGTTACTCGAAACATAATATTCAATTCAATTATTGTAAATTTTTCCACTCTAACCCCAACAAATATTGAGAAATGAAAATACTTGAAATTTGATAATGGTGTTTTCGAAAAACCCCAGTAAATCACTAAAATGCAAAAACGTTTTCAATTTAATTTTTTATTATCAGGAGTGTACTTACATACTTATGTATCTCACAATCTACAGACTTTGTGGAATCATATCTTTTCCAATTCCAATCAAATTTGGGATATACTTAAGTCGAAAACTTTAATATTTTTATAGGCCTTCTGAAGATTGAGCGTGGGGTTTGTTTGCAGATATTTATAATAAATATCTGTACATGTTATATATTTACATTATCTTGAAGTCAATATTTGTGGTTGAGAAGGAGTTGAAAAAATAATATGTTATAATGAACAAATGTTCATGTGTGTGTGTCGTATTGCTCTCTTCAGTAACTTTAGTAACTTAAACCGTTTAAGTTGATTGGAATGAACTACGCGATCATTTCGGCTATTCACCATTCGCTTCCTAAGTGCTGTCGAGAGAAGTTTGTGTTCGCGCTTATTCGGTTATACAGTTGTATTGCATTTGATTATTCTCAGGTAGATTTGTTTATTTTTACCAGAAGTGCGCTCTTTCTTTTGCCTTGAGATGTAAGTGTGAACGTTTTTAGATTTCATAGTGTGAAAGAAGCATAACGAAACAGATATGTTAGCAGTTTTTATTATGTTTTTTATAATACCAATGATCCACAAAAGTCGCCAGAAAGCAATTAACGCGAATAAAGTCAAACAAACGAGAAAATAAACAAACTTTCTCGCTGTGTAAATAATATCGTTCCTTCGCTCACAAAATGAACCAGTGCCGCTGACTTCGTTTTGCAGTTTTACTTTTCATATTTCCTACTTTTCGGTGGCAAAAAGAGATGAAGTGAAATTGTTAAAAATCAGTTCAAAATGAACTTTGTTCAAATTTAGAAAATCCAATTAAACCACTGTGCCTATTACTACATACATACATAAGTATGTATGTTGTAAAATCCCCACCTAAAAGGACTTACCTTTAGTGAGTTTATGTAAAAAAAGTGAATAAATACTAATATAAATTATAGTGCGTGCATAATAACCAATCAAATTTTATATATAAATAAATACAAACATAATGCTGTATTACAACAGCATTGATGGATCCACATCGCTGTATAATCACTGCCAAAAATGCATACTTATTTTGCGTTTATACGTTGACCTCAAAATAACAGGAGTGAACACAAAAGATGGGAAAAATCAAATAAAAATATTTAGCACATAATAATTCACTGACGGTACATTTACATATGTACGTTGTTTTTACATAATCCACACAAGCCTAAACAAACGTCTTAACCACTTCCTTAACCATTTTGGGCTTATAAAGTCAAAGAAAAGCACAAAAGTCATTACGTTAAGTATAAGGAAATTTCACCAATTATGTTAATTTTTGACTCAAGTTATACATACATATGTATGTATGTATGTATGTAGGTATAATCTATATCTAGTTTTGGCTATAACGATCAACTCCTGAAGTAAACTATTACATACTTTAGTCTAAGCGGTATTTTATCTAGCGTGAGATAATTGAGAAACTTCAACTCAATATGCTATCAAAGCTAAATAAAACAATACATAAAGTTAGATCTTCGTTTATTCTGTTATCACGACAGTTAGTCCTTAGCTTCACTTTAGGTGCTTTTCTATGCCTGTTATTATTTGCCTTAATGATTTGATGCTAGTCAGTACAAACATGACAATCGATTGGAGTTTTGGCAAATATGGGAAGATATAATTAAATTTTAACAGAGTTTGTGTTGACTTTTGCCCCCCAATTTAAAAATCCCTGCTCTTAAATGTATGGATATGTATGCATATTTGTGTGTTGTTGTGGTAAGTACATGCATAGGTACATAAGTATGTGCGTATAAATGTCCGTAAAGAAAAGCGAATAATATGTAAGTATATATGTATGTATGTATATGAATTCTACTGATCAATTGATGCAGTATAGCATCAAATGTAAACTGAAAACAAATGACAGCCAGAATATTACATTCTTTATAAACGTATGTACATAAGTAAATATTGTACATAGATATGTACCATATGTATGTATGTTATGTATGTATATGAAGACGTTTAGGAAATATGTGGATATAAATATGTTGTAATTTGCCACGTTAACTGCTTCGAAAGAGATACACTGTTAGGGACAAGCAAGAACTTTTCGCGGTTCCGCTGAATTTTCGCGACTCTCTTTTGCATTGGATTTTATGGTCTCCCACATGCTCAAACCGGTCGCTTTCAGGGCATGCACCAAATGTACAATATAATATTCAAGAATATTCGATAATAAATAAGTATACATAAGTATATACATACATACATATACATAAATATGCATAAGATATATATTCACGTTTACATATTTAAAACGAATCATTACTATAGCGCAAAGAACGCTTATTGGTTCTGAGGTACAAATAAATTCAAAAATGAGCAAAAGCAACAGGGAGAACGGTGAAAAATGCAACGATAACCGCGAGAAACGCACAATAGATTTTTGAGACTTTTCACAGTGGTTTTCATAAATTCCTTTAGTTGAGAGAAAATCGTCGCCTAGACAACATCGCCCTCTATGTTCGAAAGAACCGAAATAATTATTTTGATCAAGTCGAATTGACTGAATACATATAACAATAAAACTATTTGGGACTAAACGGAAATATAGAGCTAAAGGATACAATCGAAAAAGTGTGTAAACGAAAATTATTAGTATATTATACTTTTTTGAGAACAAATCCCATTTGCATAAAAGTTCACAATTACCTTCCAAATTTATCTTTATAAATTTAAGTGTACAAATTGAATATCAAATTAGGGCATGTGATTTGTGGAAATAAGTATTGCCTTAAAAAAATATTAAATCAAGCAAAGCAAATGATTGTATATGATATAATACAAGTACAACGAAAGTAAGAATAATATTTAACGGATTTTTCAGCCGAATATTCAGCGAAGAGTGTGCCAAAAATTTGCAACAAAGCAATATCTTTAAAATTAGATTAATAGAGGCAGCGCGGTATTGTTTAACAAATTGTCCTAGTATCTGTGGCACATTTGAGTATAGAATCTCTGAATCTTCAAATTCTGATAAATTAAAAATATATACAGCCGCAATAGAACAGTGGATATATCGAAAACTTTTCAAGGTGAGCTTATTTTTAGAAATTCGAAATAGCTGCGCAGAAGATTTGTTTTCGAACTGTGGCTGCTATTCATATTTCATTTTGAAGATTATTTGACAGAGGCAACTTTTTAAACATATAAATATATGTACATATGTATGTATGTAAGTGCATGTATGTAGATATTAGATAACATGTAATATATACTATATGTATCTACTTATATACATTTATTCCTAGACATATGTACATATGTATATCTTACAGAAATTCTCACGTATATTTTACAAGCAAATAACTCGTATTTAGCATTATAGACATCATAGATTGTAATATTGGTCACACTGCAGCAGAAAATTTTGGGTGTGTTGTGAATATTTACAACAGATTTATAGTAATATTTTAATATCGAAACATTATAGAGTGACGAATCGATCAAACGCTGTTCAAATACAGTGAAGTTTTGCGATAACAAGCCCTTATGTCTGAGACACGTCAAACGTGCTTTAGAAAGATTATAATACAGTTCAAATCTTAAACTATTAATACAATAAACAAATACCTTGTGTTTATCAAATTTTGTACTGTAATTTTTGTGGTTATACCTGTAGAGAGCTGTAGAGGGCAGCGCTCAAAGAGATCTGACAAATTGAAGATAACTAATAACAACTCGACTATGACTTGTAACGGTACAGCTGAGTACAGTAGAGCATTTAATGACGTACCTAGTAATAGGACCGTAAAATATATCAATTTTTGAAACAAAAAGTGAAGGGATCTTTGTTTATTTAATTAATGATTTAATAGGGTTTAAATAGGTTAGGTTAGGAGGTCGATCCCAGAAAGGATCCCACTTGGACAGCTTAAGACGCCGGTCCGTTGTGATACCTATAAAACTCCTATAATCTGGATCAAAAGACCCTTACAAGTCGACGAGCTTTGTGCTTACTACAAACTTGTTAAGACGGCCAATTTCCATTTCGGATAAGTATTCAGGTCCGCCAAAAGTGTGATTGCCGAGATATTTCAATCGCAGCCTAGCGAAAGCCGGACATTGGAGGAGAAAGTGCCGGGATGATTCCACCTCGCCCTCCTCCATGCAACTTTGGCAACTAGCATCGGGTAGTACACCAAGCCGTACCGCATAAGTGCCCATTGGACAGTGTCCAGTGAGAACTCCTACCATAGCGGCGAGATGCACTTTGCTCAGGGCGAGAAGTTTCCCCGACCTCCTGCGATCCACTCTTGGCCAGGAGGCTTGGTCGTCGACCAGCGTCTGCTGAGTGCACGCGAGGTCCATTGATCTAAAGCTAGAGCGCAAGACGCTAACGGAGATCCAACCCGATCCCATTCCGATGTGAGCGGGGCAAAGGTGCCCCCCCTGGCTAGCTCATCGGCTTGCAGTTTCCAGCGATTCCGCTGTGACCAGGCACCCAAACCAGCCTGATGTTGAAATAGCCAAACGCTATCTCTAAAGAGGACAGATACTCCTTGACTAGCTTTGATTGCACGGTACGCGCGCTCAAAGCTAGTATTGCCGCGCTACTAACGGAGTGGATGCTCACTTCTACAAACGAGGCTGCACTACGCAGCAGTACTTCTACCGCCACCTTGATAGCAGCCACTTCCGCCTGAAAAACACTACAGTGATCCGGTAGCCTGAAACTAAGACTGACGGAGAGCTCCTTGCAGAAAGCCCTCCATGTACTTAACAGAGGTTCCGCTGCTAGTGCTGGCGATTCCGCCGCGCACTTCTGCCCTGCCTAAGCTGTCAGTCGGCAGATTCCTGCCCACTCCCCCTCGTTACCGCCCCTAGTGATGGTAAGCCGGGCACCCCCGGAATTTTTCTTCTCACCCTTAGGCGGAGGCGGTTTCGTCCCCATAGGTTAGGATGCCTCCCCAGGGAACTTTCCACTTTTGAAGAGGTCGGTTTCGACCCGCTTCCTCCCTCGTCCTTGGTTATAAAGTTGTTAGCATTCATTGTAATTGGGTCCCCACTCAGAGCCGCTATCCGTCTCCTGGAAAGGTAGTCGCCTTTAAATGGTCCCAAGGTTGTTTCGGCTACGAGGCCAAGACGAGGGTTGAGTTCTAGAAGAGGCCGTGAAGGCCGCAGGTCATTTAGCGTTATCCAGGATGCACCGCGTGGAAGCGAACCTGCTCTACATCCCTTGGTTTAAATAAGAATTACGAATATAATATAATATAATATATTTCTCGGAATTTAATTATATACACATATGCAAACTAGTATCCCTCCCCTATGGGGTACATGGGTATGTTCGTGTACAATTTTTTTCCCCCATATTTTTCTTATGATGCAATATCAATGTGTGTCGTGCCAGTTTGACGGTTAGTTGGTACAAATCAGCAAAAATACTTTAGAATTTTTATTGATGTGCAAGCAAAACGAAAAACAAAGAAAATTTTTCAGACATACAAATATACTCCCATTTGTTCAAGAACAAATGTACATATGTATATTCATACATATGTACATGTGAGCACATACTTATAAATATTGTATTTATCATATATACTCACATACATATAAATATACATGTACCTACGTACATATGCATTTACGAAGAAAGATTAGGCTAAAGAACGGCGATAGCTTTTAAAGCTGGCTACTATGTTTACATTATATACATATACATATACACACCTATGTATGTAAACGTATATGTACATAAGTAACAAACTGTGTCTATGATTACGAGGCTTTTCTTATGGGACTACACTGTCGGATAAAAGTGAACGCTACAACCATTGGTTTTTTTTGAACCAGTGCAATATCTTTAAGTTATCAAAAGTTATGTCCGTAGTGGCAACGTAGAAATCA